GATCGAACAAGGTGAGAGAGACTTATATTTTACCGATATAACCTCAAAATAAAATTTAATTCTCTTTTAAAACATCAAATAGGTCTCAGTTTTATATTTTTTTCATTCTTTAAATTTTATGTATTGTATTTTATGTTTCTTAAACTTTTATTTTACTGCCATCAAAATATTATTTTTATATAGTTTTTATATTTTTATTAATATATGTAATTTTTTATATATTAATAATAAAAAATAATGTAAAAAAGAGATAAAAATAAAAATTGGAAACTACACATACTTTTTTATTTGGTGTCATTTTAATTGTTTTGACGAAAACTTTCTAATGATATATGTTGTTATAAAAAATAATTATTCTATTATAATTTAATAAATTACGTAAACGATTAGGGGTAAATTGGTTATTTTACTTGTTTTGTTCTATCTTACCAAATGTTGAACAGTTGTTCTATCTTGTTATGTCATGTCCTGTCTAGACACCAAACATACCCTTAAGAGACAACCTCTAAATCGTTAAGAGGTTCTAAAATCCTCTGAATGATTTTGTATCTTGGGTCTCCCTTAACCATTCAGCACCCTAAAATCCATTTTTTTAATAATATATTACTTACTGAAAATATAACATCTAGTTAACCAAACCATTTAACCTAAAGGGATTGTTTATCTTTTAATAGTTTCATTAAGAGACAACCTCAAAACCTCTAAAATCATTAAGAGATGAATCTTGTTTGAAAAAAAAATGTCTATTAATAATTCTAAGACCCTCTGATTGATTTTGTATCATGGGTCTTTCTTAACCATTCAGCGTCATAATTTCATTGTAAACAATTACCAAACAATAATATTTCATTTTACACAATATCATGAGAGTCTCTTAATCACTCTGACCACTTAATCATTTTGCTCCAAACCATTCAACAACTGTCAAAGTTCATTCAATTTCGGTTTTTTGCTTTCAAGATAATGTGGGATAGATCGTAATTCTTGGGTAGAAAAGGTTGAATATTGTGGAATTGTTTACTTAAATTCAATTCGAAGTAAATTACATTTTTTTGGTTCTTATGGTTGTCATTCATTATTATGTTTGGTTCATTTTTCAAACTAATTACAGTTTAGGTCATTGTAATTGTCATTTTGTTTCAATATTGATCCCTCTGATTAATTCTAATAAAAATTGTTAACTTAAGGATGTTTTAGACATTTTAACTTTTCTTTGGCTTTTTGATTTTTTTTAACTAGAAGCATACTCGCGCAATGCAGCGAGATACATCGTATTTTTGATTATATTTATCCACAATTAGTTATACGAATTCAAAAATCGAGCTTTGATAAGTTGTATTTTTGCATAATTTACTTGTAATATTGAATTTTAAGTAAACATTGGTTTTATGAAGTTTTGAGAAAGTGGTAATATTTTTATTTTTGAATAAAACATAAATTTAAAAATATCATAAAATTTTGAAAAAAAATATCGATATCAGTATTAA